TTTTTTATAAGTTTATTAATAAATCGTCTCAAAATTTAATGTGATTGTACAGGAGTTGTGATTATATAGAAGGTGATTATAGAGAAGGAAGACTGTATAAGAAGTTTTTATATTTTTTTCTAAAAAAGAAAAGTAGCTTATTTTTGAAGTAGCGTATTTTCAAGAATATATGTAAAATTGTTTAATACTAATTTATAAATTTATTATATTTAATAAAAAATTTAAATTATTTTAAATTTATATATTTGTAGGCTAGACTGGATTCAAAATTTAAATTAATTAAAGCAGGTTGGGCCGGGCTGACAAAAAATTTTCAACCCTAATTGTGGCCAGACCCAGACTAAAAAATTTGTAATTAGCAGGCCTCTACATTATATTTCTTTAAAACAGTTTGATATTGATTATTTCTAGATTTGAATTCTATAGATCTATATAGAATAAAATCTAAATAAAAAAAAAATATCAAATTTGATAAATGGTTGTTGAGATATCTTCATTCAAAGTATTAAAAGCATTTGGCGCAGCTTCTATTTAGAAAGAAATTCTAATTTTTTTAACTTTTTTCTAAATCTTTGAGTGAAAATATCTCGACAACCACCTGACCAAATTCGATGAAAAATTTTTTATTTAAATTCTATAAATTCATAGAATTCAAATAAAAAATTTTTCATTAAATTTTGTCAGATGGTTGTTGAGAAATTTTCATTCAAAGATTTAGAAAAATAGAAATTTTTTTAAACTTTAGCAAAGATACAATATACAATAATAATATATTTTTTAAATTAATATTAAAATAATATATATAGTATGTTGATTTAAAAATATCGGGTTTCTATAACGTATAAAGCTTAAAAAATCTTTTTTTAATAATAATCAAAAGTTAAAACTTCTAAATTTGCAATACAAATAAATTAATTATGTTTATCTGAATTACCGTCTCAATTGACAATAGCTATAACGATAACAATATTATTTTTTTTGATTATGTGGCGTAACTATTTATCAAAGTTATACGTACATACTATAAATTCAAAACCATCTATAATAATGTTTAAACATAAACGGTATTTACGTAGAAGGTAGATATAACCAAATTATTCGGATTTGCCTATTATGTTACATAAACGTTAAGCTTTTAAAGTTAAAACGGCATTTCATTCATTTGTTATATGACAATCCTTGCTAATTTTAAAAATGCCATTGTTCATGTTCTTTCATGGTTTATTGTCCTTTTTTATAATATATATGCATAAATGATGTCAATCTTTATAGCACAATTGATGTTTTAACATACATATAAATTCTGAATTCAATTTTGATTGTTCTTAATTATAAATAGCATGACGTAAAATCGGGTCCAATAATCGAATAGACTAACGAGCGAAAAAAATATGCGCATTCTGTCACCTACGGAAGATGTTAAAAAGTTCGTAATATTTGACTAAGGACTATTGTCTTTTTTGTGTAATTTTCGGGTCAGAATTTGAAAAAAGTATGATGCACAACTACTTGTACTGATATGCGGATTAACGATTGGACTCATCTGCTCTAACTTCTCCCCACACTTCACTATCGGAATACCATAAAATTGATTAGTAAATAATTAGTAGAACCAATCAGAAGTGCGGGGGAAATTAGTAAACTCGTAATTCACAAGTTCAATGAATACTCGGATCATTTGATCGAGTTAATTTACTGAGTTGTTCGAGTCTAAAATGTACTTACTGTACCGTACCTTCTCGAGAGATGAATACATCATTTTTACATTCATTTCGCAAGTTGGATTCTTTGATTTATTATTATAAATTAAATAAAAAACAGTATATATATTGTCTATTATAAGAATTGTTCAACGAAACAAATAATACAAGTGTTGTGATGGAAATACCTAACAAAAATTGATGGTTAGTATAATTGGTACGATTCCGGTCTATGCAGTTTAATTTTGCATTTATAGTACAGGTCTTTAAACCCATTAGTTAATTGTTGGATTTCTCCCTTGAACCGATCCAATTCTCTAAATTGTTCTCCAGACACTTCTTCATCCCCAACTTTGATCATATTAAATATTGTTGGTTCGCCTGTGTATTCACCATATTCAATTTCTTTAGATTTAATTATTTTATTTATACTTCTGGAAGTTATAAGATCGTATCTTCTTGACAAGATATTTTTTAGAAATTTTCGAGGTATATCTCCATATGATGTTTTCAATACGTAATAATCTATATGTACCATCTCACGTGAGGTATTCAAGAAATTATGAAGTTTATGAATTGGGTCAAACTGTCGGTGAATTTCATCTTGTTTAACATACTGGAGAAAAAAGTTTTCTGCTACGCGAATGTCTCTTCGCATATGATCCAAGCATAGTGGCGTACGATATTTGGCACTTTTGTTACGCATTGATTCTATATATGCTATTACAAATTTTTGAATCATAGTAACAACCATCATGACAAATAAACGTGAATTCAAGCATAATTTAATATGTTTCAGATAATCTTCTATCGTTACGACAATGACGCCCATAGGGTCCGCCTTGTACCACTGTGAAGCATGCATTTCACGAAATGGTTTTTTAAGATCATTGAATATTATGCATGAAGCTGTACTGATGGCATTTGTAACAACATATAAGAATCCATCTCTCACATAACAAAGCTCAGCATTAACGGAATCCCAATGTTCGTTAGATTTAAATAATGGCGCTAACCGTGTCTTAAGATTTTCAATATGATCAGCACAAAGACATTCATCATTAGCCAGTGCGACAATATATTCTAAAAGACGTGGTTCACCTCTTTCTTCTATATATAAGCGAACTTCTGATTCTAGTGTGATTATCCAAGTTTGTTGTATTTCTGTCATCACTTTACAACATTCCTTAATCACGTCAACCAAAATTTTTTCATGAATAGACATAATGGCTAAATCTATTTGTTGATTAATCATACTGATCAGCACAGGTGTACCAGTCAGGCCAGTCACCTTATTGGCATCTAATTCGTAAGGACGTTCAATAAATTCTTTAATATCACTTCCAATTAAATTATTCTTCCATTCTTGGAACTTGTTGCGCATAATTGATAGGAAATAATCAATCAATTCTTGTTCCCTGCCGTCTAAGAGTTGCGGCTCCAGTAAGTCTTGCGATACATGCATATCACTTACGATTTTAAGATAATATTGACGCACCCAGCGTATCAAGGCAAAAATAGTTCCCACGTCCAAAGCCATGTCAGTCTGTATAACTTTATTCAGCCAAGTGTAAACTTGGTCATGATACCCCTGCACAAAAAAAAGCTTTATATTGTAGTGAGAAGGAAATTGTGGTTCGATTTCATCTTTTACTAAACTTAAATCGGTATATATAAAGTCTAATTTGTCTAATAATGTCAATGGGGCGTCTTTAGCTTTGCTCAAAAAAAGCTCAAATCTTTCCAAAATAATGCTGCTCAAATTACTAAAAAACTTGTTTTTGTACGATTTAACAATGCGTGCTTCGTTTTTTTGAGCATCTATTTCCTCTTCTAACCAAATTATTCTAGACAAACATTTGATTACTGTTTTCGCATGACCGTTACTTGCCAGATTAAAGATATTCCTGGTCAATTCCCAAAGGTAGCAAGTAAATCCTTGGGATAAATCGTCTAATGGTTTAAAATAAAACTGCAAGTCACTAATAATATTTCTTGATGCAATTTTTGCCTCATGCATCGTATTATCTCTTGACATTTCAAGAGCAGACAATTGGGAATGAATGAATAAAAGATTATCCGCAGAATTAGAAAAGTTTTGCCTATATAGTTTTAGTAAATGCCATAAATGATTGACAAGTTGATGCATCTCTTGCACTTGGAGGAGGACTTCTTGTGTTCCAACATTATTATGGTTTATTTGTGGAACCTAGTAAAAAAAAAAAAAAAAAAAATCGAAAATCAATTATTAGATTTATACAGATAATATAGACCAAAGAAAGTATTGTTAGCAATTATTGGCCGCAGTTAGCCACAAATTTAACCTTGTTAGTTTTTGGAAAATGATTAATGGTGGGCTGTTGTGGGTTTGAAGTTGAATGAATGATTGTCTGCATGCTTTCCTTTTCCGAAACTTTTTGTTTACCATGTTTACCTGAACGAGAAAACTTTCCTAAATATGCTTTGATATTACTACCTTTCTTCTCAAAAGTATCTTTAATTTCTTTCTCGAACCCGAATTTAACTTTAACTTTGAACAAGTCATAAGACTTGAGAAGTTTTGTAATATTCGTTTTATGAGCTTGTTTAGTTACTTTGTCTTTTTCATCTTCAATAGATAGCGTAGACTCCATAATTTTTTTTTAAATTTTTAAAAAAAAAATTTTTTTCCCTTTTTTTTTTTTTTTTTTTTTTTTTTTTTTTTTTACGTCAATAGCTATTGTTAATACAAATGGATATGTATGGATGGTGAAAATAAGCAAATAAAAAAAAAAAAAAAGGTACGTACCGTATCAGGCATTAACATTGACGGTTCAAGGTAGTATTTATATAAATTTCACCGACTCTTAATGTTGTTCTCACATGATCGCATACCGATTGGTGTACCGAAATAATGGGTATTGTTATAGCGATTGACATGAGATTACAACTCCACGTGTACCATACGAAAACGTTTCGAAAACAATGGGCCCTTTCATTTGTTTAGGAATCCCGAATCGGGCAATAAAACAAGATCAACTCTATTCGGCCGGAAGCAACGAGAAAAGTTCCAAATATGTCTACAATCATTCATAATTAGAGTTACTGATTTAATACAGATACCGTAAAATACAGATAATGCGAAATTCCTAATACCGTCCGTGATGAACTCCGCCACCGGGTTTCGCATAGTTAAAAAAAATTCCTTTAAAAAAACAATTCAAAGTTTAAATACTGCAGGCGTCACAGGAGGCGTTGCATTTGTCATACAAACTCTCTCCCCTTGTCTTTCTTCTATTCTTCGCTGCAAAACTCTCGCACAGCGTTGATTTCCGCCTAGCTGTCGCGCCTTCCTTTATCCTATCATTATAACGTAACGACCGAACCCCTTGTTCTGAAAATCTATTTAAAGGGTTGAAGAAAAGTTCATAGCTCCAAACTTTTCGACAGACGCCGTTCTAGCGTTCTTTTCAGTTTTCATATTTTTTTCTTCTATTTACTTTGTTATGACATTATTTCATACACTTAGCACGCGCTGTTGAAACGAAATTATAATATTGTTTCTTACAATTAGGACCATAATTTGAATTATAAAGCATTTAATATTCATAAAATCTTTTATAAAAAAAAACAAATACATTATGACAACTTCAATTAGCTCTAACGCTTTTGATACATCTACTGACATGAAAGGGTTGCATGTCATAGAGTTTATTACTAATGACCAACCCTATTCAACAGAAAAGGTGAATAGACGATATTTAAATTTTGAATATCGAACACTTTCTTCTTTTTCTTTGCATTCATCATTTGAAATACAAAATTTCAATAATTTAACATTTGTTAATTTATTACAATCGCATGCATCCCAATGTTTGAATAGTTACTAGAAAAGTTGCAAGAATTTCAAGCAACTTTTCTTGAGGATTTTGAAGACTACAAGTACGTACATAACAAAGCCTTTCCTACTTTCAATACAATCGCCGCACTCGTTACAAACAATGCATGCTCACAATTTTTTATGCACTCATTTAGTGTTGGATCATCCAAATTGCATTCATCTTACCATCATCGTTTTACGAGCTTTCCTTTTCTAGGAACTGAAAAGGATATATTCCAAACGGATGATGGTTTACCTTGTGATGATGCTCATTTCTTTGATGATGGAATCATCGAGACCGCTGCAGCCGTCGTTGCTGAGGATTTAGATGCCGACGCTGGCGATGACGCTGAGGTCAAAACTCTTATGAAAAAGGTTTTTATTTTATTTATTTCTTTTTTTTTTAAAGGTTTCGAAATTGGAGTGATCAGCGTAATTGTATGCAAGGATTAAAAATGATCTGCTTATCAAATACAATTATGGTTATATTCAAAAAAAAAACGCGTTAATTTGATATAACGATAACTGATTTTAATTTCTTCATACACGCATATATTTTTTAAAGAACGCGATGATTCGATCAGCAATAGAAAAGATAAAAAAGGCGGCTGAAGAACAAGAGAAGCAGCTACGGTATAAAGAAGAAGAGTTACAAGAACTCTACGAAACATTTGCAGAATTAGAAGAAGAATTACACGAGGTAAATTGTAAATTCCATTAACTAGCAATACAAAAAAGAAATTATACACTTTAAATAATAAATTTCTCAATGTTATATAAGGTTTCGTCGTATGATCAATCTCAAGCATTTATCGGATTCAGTAGAGCAAAGTAAGCACATCTTTCAGTGTAATATGTAAATTGAATATACATTATTATGTGTGAATGTAACGTATCTAATATGTAATGATTTTTTTTTTCTTAAGACACCTTGGATGCTTTTTTGTCCTAATGTTGTTACCAATCTTATTTATTATGGTACTGGACGCATACATCCAAGCAAATTACACGCCTTCCGTCAACTAATAGATACGTTGGCTCGAAGGATCGCTCTAAAAAACGGTAGACATGTTAAAAAAAAAAAAAGGAAAAATCAAAAAAAAATCAAAAAAAAATTAAAAAAACTAAAAAAACAATCGATTCTCAAAAGAAATGAACATTTCAGTATGTTTATTCTAGATGATGAACGGGCAAATTTTTCTTTTTTTTTTCACGAAAAACGAAACCATTATTATTATCCTTAAAAATTAGATTGTTTTTTTGCGTGTCGTTTTCTTATTAGATATCTACCCTCGCTCATCAATATTCATTTTTCGAAATTTGTGACGCGTCTTATCGATTTCCGGATACTTAGAACATTCGTTTTTTCATTGAAGCTAGCTTATCTATTCACTTATATTGCATATTTAATTTACATTTCACGATTAGACACATATCTAGATATGTACTATGCATTTAATGATTCATAAGATATATTTATTCTCTTAAGTTTCTAAATTTTCCTTTAAACACCTATTAATTATGCATCTACTCAATATGCATGTGACAGTTTATGTTCCCTTACGCATTCTTAATTCAAGCATTTATTAAAAATTTTTTGTTTCCTTAAACAACCCATAGTTTATTGTTTTTGAAATTCATTCAAGTTTAATCTTTTTTCGCTTATATCACAATTTCTTTTTCATATGATTTTTTTTTAGTATGTTGGTTAGGGAAACTTTCTAACAACTCATAACTTTTGTTAAATAAAACTACCCTAACCTTGCTTATCTTTTTCTTCCGATAGACTCTTCGAATTTTTTCTTTGCATAAAAATTTTTTGTCGAATATTTTTTTTTGTCTTTATATTTTACTTCACGAGAAAAAATTTTTCATATTATTATTCCCTATCACATTTTATCTTTTTGCATTGTCAGCCTATACATATTTTTTTATATCTATGTAGATATATATATATTATCTTGTTTTTATCAATCGTGAAGGTATTAGTCGTATTAGAAATAGTTTTCAATACTCAAATAAAAAAAGAAATTTATATAAGCGAAATAAAAAAAAGCACTTTTGCATTAAAATTTGATATTTATTGAGATCCGTTTAGCCAGTCTTTTTCGAGCACCCAATATATAGCTGATTGTTATATAATTTCTTGATGTAAAGTATAGAATTTCAATGTTAGGTACCTGTCTGCTTGTTTATTCGCGTGTCGCGTAATGTCATTGTTTTCATCGTTATTAAAACTAACAAAACGGTGACGTTTTATAGGCTGGAGCCTTAATTATTAGATTTTAGATATCTATATTTGTAATATTCGCTAATTAACCATATCCGCCGATTTGATTTTTAGGGGTCTTTTTTCGATAAACAGTTACACGAACTTTTGCCACTAAGCGACGTGAAGAATAACAAACGAAACATTCTTAAGAACAGTTTTTTAGCCTCTGTATGAGATAAATAAGCAACAAATATTAAA